ATATTTTGTACTTGGGTTTACCTCCCTCGAAACGAAGCAGCCGGGATAGCGAACCCAGTCAGAGCGGGTGGGTGTGCACTCAAGTGTAACGGCTGGTTCATTAGCAGATGCCGCCTTCATGGCTCATTGTGTGTGTATATATAGAGATGTTGGGTTTTGTAAATACATGATCAGTTTTTGTGTATAACATTTTGCAATCAACAGACATCATAACATGTCATGTGTTCAAGTATCACACCTGCCTGTCTGTGTAATTACATAATGTGACAGAGACCGAACTCGGGCCATAAATCAATGCATTTTGTTTATGGTGTATAGCCTGATTGGTGTTAAGTTCAAATTGCATGTGGTCAGTGATAGCAGTTGTGTATTGAATATTGTCATTAGCAGACAGGCAGGCAGACACATAAGTGTCAATAAAACAAGACATTGAGTTTTGTCTGTGACAACGTCATATCTATATCACAGTTAGAAATTGTGTCAACGCTAAATAATGACATTGCTTTTAAGTATCGAACTGAGAAAGTGACTCGGTAAGAAGAATGTATGGTGAAATAGACAAATGAAATTATATAAACAGTTTGTTTACTGTCATAACATATAAAAAGCTCGCGCCTGTGAGATATCAACAAAACATTATGAAAATAGCTCACACCAAAGCCTTCACCGAGTATTCACCGGACAGCCCGCTTCCAAGTTGCGCGAACCTATTTCACTGCGCACATGCTATGAGCGCAGCCCAGCTGTTGAAACCCGTTTTCCCCAAAAAAGTCTGGGGAAATTTAGTGAAACGTTTGAACTCCGATTTCGCGCGTTTTTTTTCATCTCGTTATTTTTCAACTTTACAACTTGAATTTGCATTTTTGACGATTTGTTTCGGTAAGTCCATACCGAAAGGTATCAGAATCTGCAAAGTTGTGTTTTACGTTGCATGTGACTTTTAACTAAGACGTCACAGAGTGCACCAGTTTGATGAGGTCGTAAAATGATTCACAATTCATCTGGCTCACTGGTTACAACTGTTATGTGTTTTTTGCGCGTTTATTCAGTGTAGGACTGTAACGCACAATGTGAGTAATATAATATCATGTCCGTACCAGACCGCCAAACCGTTCTAGCGGCAGAGCAACGTTTTAAGATTTCTACGATTTCCAGGTTTCTGTTTGTCAGTGCTCGCCGTTCGACAAAGCATGCTGCGCGACATGCTTGCAAGGGTTATATGAGCGTAGTGTTGTAATATACAAGTGCTTAGATGTATCAAATAATACTTATTAATATATATGTATCCATCTCAAAATTCTGGACTGGTTATTGCACTAAGTTGCGCAATAGGACGGAACCCAGTCAACGGGAAACGTGACTGTTATGTAATCAATGTTTTGACTTGCATGACTCTGATGTTTACCTACCCACAACACTGTTCAAACTATTTACCATTTTTAGCAGTTGTTGTTCTTAACATAACTCCAAAACACCAGTCACGACCAAAAAAACCCACACTCCCCAAAATACAAAAAAAAACCCAAACCAAAACAACAAAAAAGCAAACAACAAAAAACAACAACAAACAAATAAACTTAAAACCAAAAACAATAAAACAAACAAAAACCCCACCCCCCACCCCCACCCCCAACAAAACAAAACAAAACAACAAAACATTCCATGATCACAAGCATTGTCAGTGAGGTCCGAAAACATCATTTATATATTCACATGACAATGGTTTTCGATTTATTTCTGCATACTCAAAACTGAGCTAGTCGTCATAAAACCGTTTCTAAAAATGCTTGAAAAACGCCTTCTATGGTAATATACTCAGCAGCCAAAAAACCGTCAGTACGACTTCAAAATTAGATAGCCACTGTAATCAAATCATTACAGAAATGGACATAATAAGCGGATCAAAAACATTTTTTGTGTACAATAATTTGACACATCAATGAATACTTAAGCACAATTTCAAGACATGACGTGAACGTTTGCAGTCCATTCAGACTCTTAACTTCAGTATGTAGTGTGACTACCACGAACGGCAATAACTGCAGCGGAGCGTCTATGCATGGAGTGCACCAATTGATTGACGAAGGCAATTGACACCTGGAACCACACTCTGAGAAAGGCCTGGCGCAATAAATCGGCTGTGTTCGGCCTTCGCATGACATTATTCAGTCTCTTCTGACTGACTGACTGAGTTTGGTTTTACGCCGCTTTTAGCAATATTCCAACATCACGGCGGGGGACACCAGAAATGGGCTTCACACATTGTACCCATGTGGGGATTCGAACCCGGGTCTTCGGCGTGACGAGCCATCGCTTTAACCATTAGGCTACCCCACCGCCCCCAGTCTCTTCTGAATTTCATTCCAAAGATTTTCAATTGGGTTTAAATCAGGACTAAGGGCTGGCCACTGCATAATGTTGACACTGTTCTGCTGTAGGAAGTCCCGTGTAGCTCTGGCAGTATGGGCCCGGGCGTTATCATGCTGGAAAATGTTGTTCTGGTGACGTGCAAAATGTGATATGACGTGGGGTCTGAGAGCTTGGTCGATGTAGCGTACCGCTGTGATGCCGCCTCCTCTCCCTGGACCAAGGTTCTGGAACACCACAGGACCCACTCTCTGGTTCAGGCCTATTCCTCCCCATACCAAGATGCTTTCAGCTCCCCATGAGTCTCTTTCCATAACACATTGGTCTGAGTAACGCTGGCCACGTCGTCGCCATAATCTTGTTCTGCCATCTGCAGTTGATACGCAGTATCGACACTCATCTGTGAACAGAACAGTTCCCCATTGCCTGTATCGCCAGTTTTGGTGTTGTAGGGTAAACTGTAGACGTTCACGAAGATGACGAGGGGTGAGAATAGGTCCACGGTAAGGTCCACGGTAAGGTCCACGGTAAGGTCCACGCAGTGGTGGTTCCCCCTGTTAAGACGTCGGCATACTGTATCAGTACTAATTGGTGTTCCGTGTGTTCTCACTGTCTGGCGTGCTTGTGCAGTGTGCCCAGCTTCAAGTCTCCCTAGTGCCTGGTTTCTCTGAACTGTCGTGAATCGGGGCATCCTGCTGACGTTGTAATGTGAATGTTTCAACCAGGTTTGGGGGTGCATTTTATAGGGCTGGTCCTTGTGAACAGCACGTGCAGCATGAGTTGCATGAAAAACATGGAGAACACCGTACCGTCTCCGAGATCAGGTTGCGTTTTTGAGACCATTTCCCTTTGTTTGGGAAGGACTGTCTTTGCTCAGGTATAGTTGGAGATGTTGTCAAAAATATACAATCAAAACATTATATGAGTTTACAGTTATCCGTTTCTGCGAAGGAAAATTCCAAACTGACGTTTCTTTTGCTGCTTGGTATATATTAGCCAAAACATTTGTACGTTCACTGAAATGCTGTTTGGTTCTCAACACTCATGTCTTGTGGATCCTAGACATATTGTCTCCGTTTACCTCATGTACTGAAATGTACCGAGACCAAGACACTGATGTCCAGACACGAGGACAAACTGTATGGTCACGTGGCGAGACGTTCTTGACTTGATGGATGTGCCCCGTCACAGTACGACCCCCAGCTGAACATTAGTACATGTGCTCAGGAGTAACATTCCAGATACCAGCTTGGTGTCTGGGGTAAACGACCGAAGCAGACAAACTCTATTTAGAAGCACATATGAGTGAGTATTGGTTTACGCTGCCTTTACCAATATTCCAGCAATATCACGGCGGGGCACACCGGAAATGGGCTTCACACATTCCCCCCCATGTTGGGAATCGAACCCGGGTCTTCGGCGAAACGAGCGAACGCATTAACCACTAGTCTACCCAGCCGTCTCTATACACACATATAGAAAATATTGCAGAGTTGTATATATCCCAACCGGATCCGCTGATTATTGTTTCGAATCCCAATTGCAACGCCACAGCCGTGGTTGCGAGTCGACATCACATGGGATTTCCATGCAACACTTGCTGACGTGCCATTCAATAACAGAAATACAAATAGAAGTGAGTGAGTGAGTAATATCATCATCATCAAAATCTTTATTACGTATGAAGGCCACAGGCCCATATACATATTAATATACATATTTGTATACACAGATGTTACACCGCTTGTAGCAATATTCCAGTAATATCACGGCAGAAATGGGATTCACACGTGGTCTACATGTAGGAAATCGAACTCGGCGTGGCAAACCAACGCTTTAACCACAAAGCAACCCCCACTCTCGACGGATGGAAAATAGATGTGACTTCTGACATAGAGCATATTCCGTAACGTTTATGCAGCGATCCAGAAGACGAATAACGTTACGAAATTTAATGGAGTAAAGAAACGAATACAACGGAATACGACTAACAAGAAGAGTTCTCACGAGCTTTGACTAGGAAACTATATCGTACAGAACAGCATATCATTAGCAACCGTGTTACCAATAGCTGAAGGTCATGGGGTCTTGGTCACTGGCATGGTGCCTACAGATAGCCACTGAATTGTTTGCCCGGCAGAAGGTGTTTGTTGCCAGAAGATATAACATGGGTATTCAGCATACAGAACACAGAGCGTTGTGTTGGCATAATGGGTGATGGGATTGGTGGCTATTCGTGTACTTTTTATATAAATGATAACATATAGAGATAGATATTAGATACGGGCACTCTGCTGTCGTATAAAAGACAGTGATAAACATCAACCAGAAATATTTGGATTGATCGCGATAATCTGTTATATTGTTTGTAGATTTGTTTGATGTGCAGTGAGTGAGACATGTCCGTTGTCTTGAATAATGTTAATACTTTTGTGTTTATGTCGAAATGGAAAGTACGAACTGCTTCCTAGCTTGATGGGTAAGAGTGGTAACTGTTACACAAAGGCCAAGAGTTGCCTATTCGTGTAAGGCGCCACAGTTTCCTTTTCACAATTTAGACTACAGTTGTACTCCAATATGGTATGGGGAGGCGTTCATAAGTCGGTATCATAAACAAACAGAGTCTAAAAACAAACATTTATAATGTTTATTCCATTAGCAATGCATAATACGAAGTCATATTGAAAATAATGAAATTGTAAAAGAATCTAAAGCTAGAATGTTGCATTCAAGTGCGTGTAACTACAACGAGAACAATCATCGGTACAGCAATGCCCTGGGTGCCGTTGTACAAAACAACCTTAGCACAAAGGCTACCATAAGTCTATGTTAAGGTATGGGAGTTACGGTCACCTTAGCGCTAAGAGTGCTTTGTACAACGGCACCCTGGACCGGAAGACTCCACTGGATACAGAGGAACTGTATTTTGTTTCCGGATTGTCACAGAAATGTCCTTCGTTCGTTTGTATCACATAGGCGTCTTATAGACGATACTTAGACGTCACAAAGACGAGCACCTTTAAGAATGTCATGGCGTGTTATGAATCCAACAAATCAACTGTCTACTCGGGCTTTGTTTTTATTCTGTTGTTTTGTCTTGAGAATGGACCTTGGCTTGTTCCTCTTGGCGTTCCTTGTCTGAGATCTCGGTGTCTCCAGACTCGGGTGACTTTCATCTGCCCAGTGAACGGACTGACGTCGGAGACTGAGGCAGCTGTCTTTACACAAGCACATCTCTGGCATCTCCAGGGAACCTCGGCGGAACAAGCTGTAGTCGAGCTGCGACAACGGCAGACATCTTGGACACGTCATGATCTGTCCGACATCAGATAAAGGATTGTCTTCAGTCCCAAGTTTGAGCATGAGAAGGGCTTGGCGGAATTGAACAGACGCCATTGTTGGAAGACCTGAAAGAAGAAAGAGAAAGGTTTTATTGATGTCAAAAGTGACTTAGTTAACATTTGCAATATGTACAAATACCATGTCGCCCAAGCTGCGGCAGGTCGTTGTGTACCTTGGGTACGCCAAAAACCTAAGATTGTGAGCTTGAACGGCAAGTAACAAAAAGCTAATTCTTACTCTTCTGAAAACGTTTAAACGAGCATACTCAACAAAATATATATTCTGTGTCTGCTCTTCTGTGTGACCGACTAAACGTCTGTGTGCCACGGGACTAGTAAAGAAACATTTTATGTATCCCCCTCCTCCCCACCCCCCTCCCCACCCCCTCCCAAATAATATATAAAATAAGTGTTCGAAAGACGGAAAATATGAATTTACTCATCTAAACTGAAAAGGAATAATTGCATACCCAAAAACTAATTGTATAAATGTCCTGTTTCCCATAATGCGCCTGTTCCCAGTCGACTCCATAATCAGGAGCGAAAAATGATTTTTATTAGCTTCTTCGGAAACCAAAAACGCACCAATCAAATGAAAATAATTAACATTAAACACAACAAATCTTACCTGAATGAGGATAGGGTTTTAAAGAGCGATTAAGAAGCTGAAGATTTCCACCCGTGCCAGGAGATCCACGAGTTGATGCCAGTAGAGGTCTCTGTCCCTTGTTTATATACAGCCACCTTGTTTACTCCACGTGCAGCTTGGCGTAACGCCAGGCAGATAACATCAAGGATTTCGGAAGCTCTTCAAGCGTGGGCAGGACCGAAACAATACGTTATGCTTGTCATGTCTTTTTTTTATGTAAACGCGTGTTGATTGTCTTCACTTTGCAAAATTAATAGGAGCGTTCAGTTTACTCTCTTGATGTGCATTTTACATATATGGCACTGCGTTCTGGAATGCACGTACGGTTTCGTTACATTAACAAATGTTTGGCCCCGGATTCCCGGCTTTTCAGGAACCGAACAAGAAATCATCGTGACTAATTATACTTAACAACAAGGTTCCTTTCTGTAAACGTGTTTTAACGGCTGATGGTGCACTGAAATGAGAGTCACGTGTTCATTCGTTCTTCTCTTACATCCATACTCTAGGGAATGATATCAGCACTTTAAACAGTCGTTCACCCCTGAGCCCCACAGTACACACCTCTGTCAACTTGTTGTGATATCGTGGTGCTTGTATGTTCATTATTTCGATTGCTTCCACTTACCACCGACACGTGCCAGCATTTATTGAACACATAGTTTGTCTGTTACCTCTATGAAGTCGGTAAGAACATTTTATCTGTGACAATACACCTTGAATCGCACATTTTATCCCAAACTGGTTATGGCAACTGTGTTTGTTTTTTTTGTGGTTACACACCGCACTCGGTAGTATTCCATCTATTTAACGACGTATCAGACGATCTGGACCAGGCGATCCAGTGACTGACATCATGAACATATATCTACGCAGTTTGGACGCGACAACCTATATGAACTACGTCAGCGGGCCTGGCGATCCGATCTCATAAGCTGCACATGTTTATTTAATGAAACTTAATATATTTTAAATGAAACAGTACGTGGTGTTTGTATCTCGTATATTCCAAGAAATGTGTAATTTGTGTACTTTACTTTAATGGTAGAGTATTGTCATTTAAGTTTGTGCATGACTTGTACGTGTTGGATGGTACAACAGTTGATGCAATCAAGACCTAGACTATAACACAGTGAAAAGTCATCCATGTCTTACGAACTATATTAAGGGTGTTAGGTACATCCTGTATGAGATTAAGCGAGAACCCAGGGACAAAAAAACATATCCTGTTCGAAGAAAAATAACTGCCGGATTAACAAATTCGGCTTAAGGTGTCATTTGTTGTTAATTATTTCATTACATTACCACGCATAGAAGCTAGAATTTACTCTGTCTCCTCAGACCATAATGAATAAACCTGAAAAGGAGTCCAAACTCAACTTTAGAATGATTGAGCAATTCTAGATTAATGAAATTAATAGCTGTTCTGGTCCTTTTGGATTTTAGTATTTTATTAAAGATTATAATATAATCGTGCGGATTTTTTAGCAATGCTCAGACTAAGCAATATGTCCTTGTATCGGTTAATGTCACAACTGAGGAAGTGGTGTCGAATTTTTCTGTCTGGAGTTATACCCGTGTTGTTTAACTGGATACATAACTTGCTTAACTTGCTGTAAATATGTTTGTTATATATATATATGTCCTATTGAGAAGGATACGCTCATATTTTTGCGGAAATGTGGTAACATCTCCTTTTGATAGTGATTCATTAACATATGCTTATGCCATAGTTAGAATTGTACAATAGACAAATGCTTTTTATGGTAATTGAAAAGGTTATGTGCCTTTGATTGATTTTTTGAAAAACAAATGTAAGACATCAAAAAACGTTACAGACATGACAGATGCGTAACACAGAGAACACAATAGTGGGACGTGGAAGACTTGATAGCACAAACTGCTTGAACACAGCAGTCGTCTCGAAAGCATATGTTGGTAAGGACCTATAGCATATAAAGTATTTTCATTATTTGTAATAAGCATTTTGGCACTGACCAACCTATCTTGTAAAACATTGCGAACAATGTCTAGCAGACAAGCCCGTTTGACTGAAGGACCCTACTTTGCAATCCTGATCTACAGTAGTGATAATGGCAAGGTATGAATGAAAAACGGCTACATGGTGTTACCACATGTCACACATGACACGCGTGGACTACCTGATCTGGTCGTAAACAGAACTACCTTGAATGAAAGAGCTCAGGTAAATAGTAATTGGAGGATCCCACACAATGGACTACCAATCCCCTGTGTGTCTATCTGAGGAATCAAGATCTGGAAATAGAATCAATTTGGGTCGTTTACAGTAGGCTTCTTGCAGATTTCATAAGCTTGTACTTTAGGCCAGGGTCGAACGAGAACACATGGACCAGACTTCTAGGTCCTTCCAAGTATTTAAGAACAATTGGTTTAAATTCAAAGAGGTTTTCACATTTTCACATTAATATTTTTCACATAATTCAAAGCACGAATCAAATAGTGAATTTTCTTTCAAATGTAAAAGATCGTATTATAAGTTGTTCCTTTATGCTTAGTGATTGCAATTGATTACACAATGCCATTTTAGAAAGAGGTCAAACGTAACATATGTTATATTAGGCATTACACTTTCTTAGTAAAGTACAAATTCGAGTGCTTTTTGAGGGTGCTGGTGTGTGTGTGTGTGTGTGGAGGATTCGAACCAACATCCCCAGAATCAGGCACCTAATCGCCAGCACACAAAGTCAGCCGCCAAACGCGCTCAGTCACCGCGACTTCCGACTGCCTGACTTTGTGTGCTGGCAATTAGGTGCCTGACTCTGAGGATGTTGGTTCGAATCCAGGATGGTTTTCTCTCGTCTGTAAAGACATTGATTTGAGTCAATACGTGTAGACAGTTATATCTGAATCCCATTAGTGAGGTCCTAGACGATTATAACACTGACTGGAATATGGAAAGTATATGAAACATCAAATTCAGAGAGTAGTTGGCCATAGGGTAACAGATTCTGCTGGGCGTAAAACGTAAAATTGAACGAGTGAGTGAGTATGCTTTCACGCCCCTTTTAGCAATACTCCAGCAATATCGCGGCGGGGACACAAAAAATGGGCTTCACACATTGTACCCATATGGGGAATAGTACTAGGGTCTTTGGCGTGACGAGCGAACGCTTTAACCACTAGGCTATCAAACTACCCACAATAAAATGTATGGATCAGTTATGTCAATCACGGTGTTCAAGAAAAGGGTATGCATGTCCTACACTAAAGTTAGCACCTGTCATTCACACAATCCCCATACAAAGTAACCCCAGCAAAACGGCAGTGGCCTCTGAACACATCGAGACCATCCCTGTCTGTTATCACTCACACACTCGCTTTAAAGGAGCGTACAATGTGAGACACATAAAAATGTTTTGCTGAATGACATACATATACTGCCAAGAAGCATAACGGAAAATTGTGTTGTTCAATAACTGTCCTCACAATGACGTTAAACGGATAAGACTTTTTCAAGAACTCAAAACGGCATATATAATCAAGAACATGGCTGTTAAATTTGTTCAACATTGCTACACAACTCGAATGTGAACAATACATATCTTCAAAGGACACAAGACAACTCTACATGTTTATACGTCCTTGACCGTGTTGTATATCCTTCAGCAGTATTTTCAAGAGTGAGTGAGTGAGTGAGTTTAGTTTTACGCCGTACTCAGCAATATTTCAGATATATGGCGGCGGTCTGTAAATAATCGAGTCTGGACCAGACAATCCAGTGATCAACAGCATGAGCATCGATCTGCGCAATTGGGAACCGATGACATGTGTCAACCAAGTCAGCGAGCCTGACCAACCGATCCCGTTAGTCGCCTCTTACGACAAGCATGGATTACTGAAGGTTCATTCTAACCTGGACCTTTACGGGTCGCCTCTTACGACAGGCATGGATTACTTTTCTAAGACCTTCACGGGTTATTTTCAAGAAGGAGCGAAAAGTTCAAACGACGAAGTCCATATGATCAAGAAGAAGCATGTTACCTTGACTTACAAAACTCGGATCATACGAACAACGGTCACCTACCAAGGACATACAACCGTCCTTTATATAACATGCCACACACAGTTAATGTATTTCAGCACTTTGTTGACACAATGTTCACGACACACACCAGCATGCGACCATGGGTCCAATGACAAAGAGATATGATCATGGACTTGACTTTGACGTCCTAAACGGCTACATTGTAACTCCAGACACAGATAGCCCTGCTGTGCTGTGGTCATTAACACAGTTACTGGACCGAGTCCTTCGTGGGATATATTGAACTGGACGAGTTAGGTCCAACTGTATTTTAGTCAGAGTGTAAGCTAGCAGGGTGTCCCCACAGAAGTATTACGTTTGTAAATTTGAAGTGAGTGAGAAATCGGCTTTACATATTGTACCGACGAATGGAATCAAAGCCGGGTCTTCAGCTTGACGAGCTGAGACGATTTGGCTACCCCACCACCTAATAATCGGCACAGATATGAAACTTGAGTCGGATCCTCAAAGCTCCTGTCACGCCTTTTTTGAGGCCAGCATCTCGACTTGGATGAAGGGGATGTTGAACTATTACCACCTTCTCCACAAGAATCTCCAAAGTGAATGAAGAGGTATTGGACTTATGGTCCATCCAAAGTCCACCACATGATGATGAAATCGAGACCTTGGGAACTTGTTCGTTCACTATGGGTCATATCATATTGTACATACAAACTGTATTTCTAATTAACAAAAGATTAAAAAAAATATAACCATTCCTAACAAATATAACCATTTCGGTCATTGGAAATATGTCAGCCTTGTCCAAGATAATCAATACGGGCTTAAAAGAACCATCTGTAGAGGGCGAATTCATAGCATGTTTTCAGGGACACCATTAGTTCATTGTCTAGTATCTAGTATCAGAGGTACCTCTTAATCTGTATCAGGCGAATACTGTGGTTCGAACCCATGTCCTGATTATCATGGGTGGGTTTGCTTTGTCGGAGTTGGGTATCCACATTAAACTGCAGGATGGTATCTAAGTGGGCTG